TGAACTTTCTTTCATAGAATTAGCGCTTAATTTACAAACCAATGGTTAAATTGCATTAATTATGGCATTTAATTAATTATCACACATTCAGGGATAGTGTTTGAATACATTGTAATGAATAAAGTGTGCACTAAAAGCATATGATTAATGTGTTTACCAACAGAGATGTGTTAACTTCTCGATTCCCATAACCCTGTGCTCCACAAAACTCATGTAATCAATCATATCTTCCATACAATTATGCAATTCATTGATTACCTGTTTGCGAATAATTAACATTATAGTAGTTGAATCAAAATATAGTTTATTATTATATAATTATCAATATAACTTATATTTAAATTGTGGTTAAGAACATTATCTTAATGTTAGCAATGGGTTATTGATTGGAACTTTTGTGTATAACTTTTATTTTATATGGGTACAATGCTAAAAATCTACAATAAAATTCATTTGTGTTTCGAGAAATTACAATAAAAATATTTTAGCTTTAATTTTTGATTGTATTATACTATTAATTATAATACATGCTTCTATCATGCTCTAAATTCATAATTAATTTAACTAAAGGGTTATGAAGTATATACTATAAGTAATAATTTTTTATTTTAAGCATAATTGTTAAATATGTGTAATCATTAGTATTGTCATATTTAGTGAAATTTTGGGAAACTTTTAGGGCTAAATTAAGCCTTCCTATAGAGAGGTTGCACTATATTTCCTCATATAACGTGATATGATAGCAACATGAAATATATAATTTTATATTTCATGAAATTAACAACACTAGTAATCATGTAATCGTTATTACTTGTAATTTAGTCTAATAACTTACTAATAAGTAATTGAATTATAGATAATGTTTGATTTGTTGTTTGGGTACATGTATTGTGATGTATTGAGTAATACCTTATTTAAACAAAAGCTGTTTAGAAACAATTGCTGAGCAGTGAATGTCTGTGAATCGCATAACTTATTTGCCTGTATTTGTATTTGATTCGCTAATTTTCTGGTCATTAGTTTTTGTGTCGAGAATTTAGGCATACATTCCCTGATGTAGTCGTGAATGTCTTTAACCCACGACTTCTGAACTGAACAGAAGTACTGATATTCGATAGGATTGGTTAGGAATCGATTACGTCTGTCTCCGATCACAA